ATGTATGTATGTACGTCTGTATGTCTGTATGTCTGTATGTCTGTATGTGTGTACGTATGTGTATGTGTGTATGTGCGAATGTATGTATGTCTGTATGTAGGTAGGCAGGTAGGTCGGTAGGCAGGCAGGCAGGCAGGCAGGCAGGCAGGCAGGCAGGCAGGTAGGTAGGTATGTATGTATGTATGTGTGTATGTATGGATGTTCCAGCCCTCCAGCCAGCCCTCCAGCCGGAGGGCTTGAGTGGCTGGAGGGCTGGCTGGAGGGTTGGCTGGAGGGTTGGCTGGAGGGTTGGCTGGAGGGTTGAGGAATGGAGGGAGGGATGGAGGGAGGGAGGGATAGAGGGATGGAGGGCGGAGGGATGGGGGGAGGGAGGGAGGGATGGATGGATGAGAGCAGCGGGGCGTGGGATGGACAGATGGACGGACGGATGCATGAAGGAAGGATTCTTGAATGGATGCGTATTTATGCATTTGCAGAAGTAGAGATGTAAGTTTGTGCTTCTGCAAAGAGCAGACAGCCAGCCAGCCAGCCAGACAGACGGGTGAATGTACAACTGTACATCGAAGGATAGAGAATGGATAGGAATGCGTTATCGTGCGTCCATGTGAGCTCATGTTCTGTGTGTGGTACTCAAAGGATGGATAAAAACTGGCGTTACATTCGGAGATTCGGTATGACCTTTTCATTCAGGTCATACATCATAGCACAACAGCAAAGCTCGTGAAGTGGCCCAGATGCACAGCGAAACGCTAGCCACCAGCGAGAAAGCATGTGGCAAATTCACTCCCTGCTTAGGCCTAGGCGGAGCTCCAAATCCAGAATCTCACAGAATCTAGCACAGCCGAGAGGCTCCGAGGTGCGGAAGGAGCCTCTGTACCGGGTTGACGGCACCTGACCTTGAAGCTTCAGGCACTGTCTCGAGAGGTTTCCGAGTTGGCCAGGCTGGATGGTTGCACGCAATTACAGAACTCACCCTCGTTTCAATTTTCTCCTGTGCCAGCGCCCACCCCTGGATTAAGGCCAGGAGCAGCCTGTTCGAGAGTTCGGACTGAGCATCTGATCTAGTCTGTTGTATACTCCATGAACCAATATGTCATCAGGGAAGCTGCTGGACACGGGGTGCACGAACGAGTGCAGCAAAGTGGGATCATCTAGCACGGTGCCTTAGGTCCCTGCAGGAAGCAGGACTGGCGACTGTGTGCATGTGCTAGCGTGCGTTGTTGTTAAAGCTTTTGAGTTGCTTTGTCAACAAAGAGACTGCATATTGCGACCGTGCAACACGCTGTTGCGAATTGCTTTAGCACCTGTATGTGTGCTCAAGCCGGGTGCCCGAAGTGGCACAGTACAGTACTTGGACAGAACGTGTAGTTTTGTGTCGATTTTCCCCGCCCTCCACGCCCATGCATGGGGGAATAAAAGTTTGCGGTGGGCCCTTTTTTCTGCTTAATAGTTAGCTGGCGCAGGCCGGACGGCAGGTGCAGTGTTGCTAACTAGACTGTAGCATCTCTCTGCACCGTGTTTTGTTCCAACCTGATAGTGTATGCTCGCTTCCTGCGAAAAAGAGAGAGGGTCGAGTTGTGCGCAGGCTTTCTTCTCTTCTTGTCAGTTTGAGTGCTTGAAGATCTCGCAACCCAGCCCAATGAAGTGCCCAGCTGGGGTGGGTGCGGGGAGTAACGGGAACGTTTAACGGAAACCGATTTCGCACACGTGTGGCAGGAACTCGGACAGGAGTAACAGCAACCAGACGACCAGCGCAACAGGAATTCCCACCCGAAATCAGGCCAGGAGGCTTTTATGCTCCAAAACACGCCCCTACGCGTGTGCAAAGAAGGACGTCCAAAGATAGCCGCTACGTCAATTACGGGCTCTAAAGTGTACAGCCTGCTAACGCCTGTCTGTGTAGACCCTAATGCAAACCACCAAACCCCGTTAAATCGTAAAATCTGACCCTAACTGCCCAGCCCGGAGACTGCTTTGGGGATTGTTTGGAGTGCGGAGTCTTGGTGTCGGTTGAAAATGTTGGGGCTGCAGGCAGACAAGGCCTCGGGGCCGCAGTTCCTGTTACAAGGGGCCCCGCCCTGTTACAGGAACCAGCTGGTTTGTGCTACGACGTCGGGGCTTGTTTCTGTCAAGCGGCTCTATGCCGGTTCCTGTTACGGCAAATACTCCCAATCTGACCCAAGACCTCACCATCCTGACCCAAGGCTTTTCCACTGGCGGGGCGGTTCACTGACAGGGTTCTGATGGAACCATGTCCCCAGACACAGACACAGGCGGCCCCAACCATAAAATCCAGTGTTGGCAAGTCAACCACATTCTGGATATCAGACAGCCACAATCAATCAATCCAGCAAGCAAGCAATCAATCGATCACGCAATCACAGGATCACTGCTTTGCGCGGTGGGCACGTCTGAAGGAACACAAACCTTGCTAAGCAGGCCTGATCTGCAGTTTGAACAACAATCCAAGGATACGACAATGCTGACCGCTGCGAGTACTTCAGCAAACTGATCTGCTTTGGCCACAGCCTCAGCTTGCAAGCAGGCTGGGATAGCACTAATCTCTTGCCTGCGATCAAGTCCCGCGCTCACTGAGCCGCGCGAGCTGAGGCAACAAATGCCGCATCATGAGCAGAAGGAGGCTCCTGCACGCGACGGAGGCACTATCTGCGCGTGTATTCCTCTTACAGATTGCACTGGTGTGGCTTCTGTTTGCAATTGCACCAGGGAGTGCAGGGGCGCACTTGTGTGAAGGCGCCGACGTGGCGTCTACAACGAAGTGATTGCCGTCTGCCTGCACACAGCGCAAGGCCCACAGCCGAACAGTGAGGTTGAACAGTGAGGCAGTGGAAACTCTTGTAAAAAACTCTCCGTTCCCGACAAGAGCCTGCACAGACGCCGCCGGGAACGGTAACGGACTCCTCGGCTTCACACGCACAACATTGCGTCCCAAGTGCTAATGCTTGTGAAGTCGAATATGAAGCCGAGCCGCTTCAGAAAAAGCATCGCAATGCCGGGCATCCGAAGGAGAAGCCCATCGAGGACCTCTGTGATGAGTTTCACGCACTGCGAGCAGACGCAGGTTTGATGCACTTAGAGTTCTGGGCGATGCTGCCAACTGCAGGCATGGTCCCTACGCAAGGGCAAAGCCGAAACTGTGGCAGCGGCGCAAAGGATGCAGTTTGGTCCTGCAGCAAGAGATGGAGTCTAGAAGCAAACAGTTCACACGGCAGAAGATGAGGGTGCACCGACATCTCTTTGCAAAAGTTATGGGGATTCCGCACAGCCGCTGGGCCATGGAGGCTCTTCCCCTTCAGGCCTGAGACCCTTTGAGTGAAAACTGCTTGAAAGCATCGAGGCCGGGGCCGAGCGCCAGCGGGTAGGCGGGAGGAAGGCTGCCCGAGCTCGAATTCGGAGCCTCCTCGAATTCGGAGTTCCGTGAAACGGCTGTGAGATGCCACGCAAGTCGCGGTCTTTCGGTCAGCATTTGCATCTGCAGACTCCACGATCCTGATCCAGAAGCCCGTGGCAGTCCTTAGCCTGCTCCAATGTCTTCGATGCCACTTCGTGAAGCTTCGGGAAGGTTGTCCTGCGACGCAGCGTCCAGAAGCAATTGAAATTTGAGTACACGCAGGCTTTTCGGAAAGCACTCTTGGACCTAAGAAGGTTTCCGATTCCGTTGCAGTGCACTCGCACGGAATACCTCTCCCCGCCTGAACTGGACATCCACGCCGAAGCAAATTTCGTTGACCAGCGTCCTTGCGAGTTCGGTCGCAGCATCGGCTGCGATTCCGATTTTAGTCTAAGGGCGGAGCTGAAGGACGAGGAGCGCCGAGGCCGGAAGAAGTGATTTCTTGGGCCCTGCGTACACGGGGCCCATCATAGGATGGCATGGGCTCCAATGATCCCCTCCGCACGGCTTTTCACCGGAGAATCTGCCGACCTCGTGGTCGCTCTGCCTCCGGGATGGGAGCAAGCCTCGCAAAAAGCACACGGAAATGGAGAGCTTTATCCCGTAAGCGCGGAGAGATCAGCTACACGGCAAATCTACATGGAAGCCACATGTAACTGGAGCCCCGGAGCCACTTGTGAGCTTCCCGATCCTTCATCTTGCTCCTCGCTCCAAGATGCCAAGATCCCGGCAGAAGTGCATCGGGCGAGGCGGCTCGTGTCCTCCGTGCGACTGCCTCGATGCGATGACTTTGGAGCTGTTCCACAGGCACGAGACCCCTGGGGACTGGGCCTTGAGGGAGTCCTCAAAGAGCTGTGGATTGCGGCCTGTGAACGATGCGGTGCAGGATGCCACAAGGCACGTCCAGACCTTTAAGCTTAGCTCAGTGCTCATCAAAGGAAACAGCGGCTGGTAGATGTCCCTGCAGGATGCGAAAGACAAGATTCACTGAGCCTCGCGTCTCTCCGGGTGCATCGTTGAGCCTCGCCGGCACCTCTTTCCGAGCCCCGAGAATGCCCAAAATCTCCAGCTCCATCCTCTGTCCTAGCACCGGCCTTGACCAGAAGGGTGCTAAGGAGAGCGGGACATGGCGCTTCCAGCGACGCGAGGCCCGGGCGCTTCTTCCAGGAGCATCACCACCAAGTCAGAGAGCATTTGCAAGAGCCTAGGCGACGACTCGACGCGTGTTCCGCCGAACCTCATGCTTAGGAGTTTCACACGAAGTGCATGCTCAGGCGACGACCCTTGGAAAGCGGCTTGCCTGCCCAGTCGAAAGAGCCTTCAAGAGGCTGCATGAGCTTCTGTGCCGACACCGTGTCAGAACTTGGGCCCCCGTGCAGGCGCAAGGCTTTAACACCACCGTCTCCACCCTCCGCCTGCACAGGAAGCCAAACTTCGGGGTAGCTGCTAGCTGCTACACTGGTTGTTTCAGGGCACTGCTTCGGTGATCAAAAAAGTGACCAGCGGCAAACGAAAAGACAGAAATGAACAGGCCTGAGCATCCTTCTTGAACCTCGGCTGCAGTCTCTTTGCTCTGAATCTCTTAGACGTCGTAAGCTCTCCTACCACATGGTGAGCAAGACCCGCGCATGGTACCCGCAAGACTGCTGGCTGCTGTTTTCCTCGCTGCTAAGGAGCAAGAGCTCTGGGTCAGTGGAGGTGCCTTTGGAGCCAGTTCCGCGGTCTATGCTGCACCAAGCCGACACGTTCGAGACACAGCAGCCGCGGTCGCGAATCGCGGGACTTCGCGGGAGCGTGGAAGAGCTTATGGCCGGCAGCTGGCGGGCCGGAAGTCCGTCTGCAAAAGCCCGCAGCGATCCACAGCCAAACCAGAACCATGGCATAGGATGTGCTGTGAAGCCATAGGCCCGAGAAGTGAAGAGTAGGTTCCAGTGGCTGCCTACCCTTCCATCTTGCCCAAACGGTCACGCTTTGCTGCGAACTCTATCAACTGGAGCTGAAAGCTCCGATTCCCGAGAACATGTCCTGACAGTCACCAAAGTCTTCAAGCACAACGTGATCCCCACGAATGCCTCGGGAAGAACCACGATGCTGCTCCTATGCTAGGGAATCAACAGGAGTCGCACTGGACCCTTTCGGTCCTCGTTTTTGCTTCAACAACATCAGCGCAGGCAGCAAGTCCATGCCAATAGCATCGATGAGATACGCTGCACAAACCAAAGCCGAGCCTGGACAAAGACCGAGCAACTTCGGCTTAGGAGACGCGGCAACAAAACCCGTCCCACGACAGAACCCGATACTTTAGAAGAGTCTGGGGACGATTCACGCCCATGGCGCAGTGGACAAGGCAGCGTCCGCCAGAACCGCGAGCACTGTCCAGCGTTGGCCGAATGACTGTGGCATAGTGCTCCTCGATGCAGTTTGCTCGTGGGCTGATTTCTCCACAACTCGAACAGCACTGGAAGCCATCAGCAGGGCAACCGAGTGACGGTGACTACTCTACGAGCAGCTGCTCCCAACCATCCCGTGCAAAGATAAAGGCCAGGCTTCGTCAAGGAGCCTGTATCCCGGCTCGTCATAAGCTTCGATCCCAGAGTAGGAGAGGTTCCTGCTATTTTCGCCTGCGTGCGGACAGAACTTCCCAAATCCACTCTCACGGCAACCACGCTCTACCTTGCGCCGCTGCCTTCTACAAACCAGGGTTCGCAGCAGTTCCTGGGCTTGAGATCAACAATGTCTACGCGACAACGGGGTAACGAGGGTGGGAGATGTAGATCAATCGAGTGGCAGCACGTGCGTCACGGCCTGTGGGTTGGCTTTAGCGGCCAGCTCGGCAGCTGGCTTGCCGCCCAACAGCAGCCAGTCATTGACTTCCTTGGATAGACCATATGTGGCCACTGTCCCTACGAGCCGGCACAGCTTTGCACATCTCATGCTGAAAGAGACACTTGTCAATGTCAAGCCGGGGAAGCCGTCTAGGTTGTAATTGCTGAGCGTCGGCCGCTTCCAGAGTGGTTGAACCTCCCATGGAGGACTTGCCCGAAATCCCGGAGCCAAAGTCCACAAAACCCCAGAAATCACTGGGTCAAAGGCCACGAAACTTTTCGCAATGTTTCACGAACTTAGTACATGTACTATAACACTTGTTCCGGATTTTGCTGTATTCTGTTTCTACATGGACTAAACCGATCGGCAATGCATGATGCATACGCATGACACTCTTTGCCTGGGTGCGGTTCTGACATTTTCATATGGCTTGCAAAACGACTTAAAGCCTTCTTGCTCCAGGATTGACTCGATCAAGTGCAGGAAATCTTCCAAAGCCTGGGCGCCACAGAGAGCTTTTGAACAGGCACAGTCAAAGTCGTGTGCAGCGGCGGCCAAGGGGCAAACTGGTCACCCAGCGCCTGCTGCGCAGCCAGCTCATCTTCGGTGGCCTCCTGAGATGCTCGGGGAGGGGTCGAGAGCCCGCTCTCCTTTTGAATTTTTGTGGGCTGGTTTGGCTCCTTGCTGAACCAGGCTCCACAGCCACCGGTTCGCTTGTTACTTCCTCCCCTGTTTCGGCTGTGACGCGCACACGGAAGGGACCTGCCAAACAGACGTACAGAGCACCACAGGGATGGGGGCAGAGGCCAGGCGCACCACGCCACCACGCCTGCTCCTTCGTAAGAGAGCGTCAGGAAGTCGGCTTGGCCGCCTGAAGACTTTCACAGGCAAGCTGCCGCAGTATCTATGTCCGTATGTACGTAGGCATGTGGGATTGCACACTGCAAGTAAGCATCTATGTGCATGAAACTGCATAAATACGTTGCATGCGCATGCATGCACAAGCATATACGCAGACAGCCACGTATACAGCTTGGATGGCAACATTGCCGGTGCAATTCGGACCCAGCCTTGTAGAAGATGTACTGGAAGTTAATGCACGAAAATTGATGTCACTCTGAGCCTTCACCTTTTTGAAAACCTGATTTCATCAAAACTGGAAACTAGCTGCACACC